TATCGTCACATGATCAAATGGTCAACATCATGGATGTTGCTGGAAATTTGAGCGTCGGCACATCTAGTGTCGACGTTTCTACTTTGTCGACAGATATCGGTCGGACGGAACAAAATATTGTTTCGAGTGTGCCGATTTATGGCATTGTAGATTGGATAATACTAATCTAAATGCTATAAAATTATTAGTTAATTTCAATTTACAAAATATTAAAAAAACTCACTCAAACTAAATAAGAAGTTTGTGTGGTGACAAAAAGAGCTGGTGTGTTTGTTTGTTTGGAGGTTTGAATTTTGAGTTGGGATTTGAATAGTAAAAATTTTGAATTTGAATAGTTGTATGATGTGATATAAATAGGTGTTGATGTGATGTTTTGAATGTAAAATTGATTTTTAATATAATATAAAAAATAAAAAATAGGTGTTTGATTTGATATTTGGAGGGGGGAATGGGATGAATAGTGTATCTAAAATCCAATCTCCCAAACAAATTTCGTTCAGTAAAAAAAATAATACGAAGTCATTGGATTTAATTCACACTGGTGTGTGTGTGTGTGTTTTTTTTTTTTTTTTTTAAAAAGTTCAAATTTGAGGTAAAATATATATATATTACTATCAATTTATGAATGATTGAGATATTGCTACATTTACCTGTTAAAGGAACAAAGAGAATCAATAATGTCTTAAAAATTAATAATAATAAGGCAGTGAATCAGCTGAGATGTAATATCAAAGCAGTTCGAATTATTGGGGAGACAAATGTGTAGCTCTGTATGAAGAATTATGTTTAATAATTCATCCAACTACGACATCATACTCACCACAATTGAATGGCGTTAACGAACACATGAATGTCTCGTTTATTTATTCAGAATTACCCAAAAAATGTAGAGGCACTTCTAACTGCAAATTATATTTTGAATAAAATTTCATTTAAAGGTAAGGATAAAACTCCTTATAAATTTTGGAAATGCAAGAACCTTTACACAATTATTTAAAGTGTGGAGGTGTGCTTGGATAAAATATAAGTACCGCCTCTCAAGCAAGTCGCGGAGAAAGTGGAAGGTCGTATAAAGCTAGTTAGAGTCTTGATGTATTTAAAATATACTTTCGACTTTTGGCATTCACTACACAATATATCCTCCAGTACTTGAAGGATACTATGATGCTAACGGGATATCTGATATGAAATATTTATTGTCTACAAGTGAATATGTCTTTATGACCGAAGGTGGAGAAATTTCATGGAAGTTCACGAAACAAACTTTTATAGCTCGATCCGTTTTGGACAAAATTAGTACATCCGATAATGATATATCATGATAGCCAAGCAGCAAAAGTAAATGCTAATAATAAAATTTATAATGGTAAATCCTGACATATCCAATACAGATACAATATTATGAGACAATAGGAAACCTTGCAGATCCGTTAACCAAAGGGTTACATTATGATCAAATGTAGAAAGGGCTAAAGAGAATGGAACTTAAATCTATGGAATTAAGAGACAATTACAGTGATAATCCAACCAAATCACTTGGAGTTCCCAAGTCTTAGTTCAATGGGAAAACTAAGTTGTAATAGTTCGGTAAGAACACTCAACTACCATTCACTAAATAGCTACGAGTGTTACAATATGCAAAGTGGTGAGGTTGAGTCACTGACTCTTAATAATACTACAGTAGAACTAGATACTTTAAGATAGAATTATCTATATAAGTGTGAAGTGAAGGCCGCTTCATATGAAAAACTTATGAATCCAAAGATGTGATACATGGCCAAAATGAATCAAAACGTGAAAACAAAATGAGGTTGAGATAGGGATATGTCAATATTATTGACTAAAATGTACACAAATGTGGAATAGCTCAATGCATCGTGTCAACCAGGCCACTTGTACATACAATAATATTGATTAAGGATGGTTCAAAGTCACAAGCTACCACCTATATCGACGTGTTGATGTCTCTGGAACCGAGTTGTGTATTGTCCGAATTAATGGGCATTTTAACTCATGTGGGGAATTGTTGAAAAATTGGTTAATTAATTAGTCGATGTGATTTAATTTGAAATTAAATTCATAATTTTTGGAACAGATTATTCCGTGAGTTGAAATGCATACGGGTAGTACGGTGGTTATTAATAGTATGATTAGGCATATAAATATCAGTAAGCCACAGGCGCGCATACCACATGTCTGGATCTAAAATTTATAATTACATGCATTTATGACCAAAATGAAAATTGGTGTTTATGGTTTAAATTTAATCATTTCGGTTCGACGGTTTCGACTCAACCATTTAGTGTCAGGCGGTTTCGACTCGGAGAAATTTACTCACCCAAGTGGTAGAGGTGCCTATAAAAGGCTCTCTCCGCCCATTCTTCCAACACACCAAATCAAGAAGATTCCAAGTTTTCTCACTCTTCTCTCTAGCAACCATTTAGGGCGAGTTTTCCTGCGAGCTTCCGAAATTCTCCTTGTTTACGCCTCCTGACATAGCTCATAGTTCACTTTATTTTAGTTCATTGGAACTCCGAAATATTGTGGTGTCAACTAATTCGGAGACGAAAGTCATTTTATCTTTGAGTACGTTGCACCACGAACTTGAGACACTACCGGGGCTTATTCATTTTTACGGAGAAAAGTTCTATCTCGACTCGATGTGATTATCGAATTTATTTCGATAAAATTATTGAGATTATCGAATTTATTTCGATAAATTATTTTGATATCGAATTTTATTTTTTGATAATTATTTAATATTCTCACAATATAATAATTTTTTAATAGTTTCATAAAATATATAAGCTGAAATTTACTTTGACTTGGCTCAGACTACAAGAAAAATAAATTGATTGGAATTTTTTCATCTTTGAGATCAATTTTTATTTTTTCCATTAAAACATATGAGCTGAAATTTACTTTAACTCCTCTCATGTTACAAAAAAATAATATCACTCATATTACAATAAAAAATAAATCAATCGGAATTTTTCATGTTTGAGATCAATTTTTATTTATTTAATTAAACATATAAGCTGAAATTTACTTTAACTTGGCTCACACATTACAAGAAAAATAAATCAATCAGAATTATCATATTTGAGATCAATTTGTATTTGTTTCATTAAAACATATAAGCTTAAATTTACTTTAACTCAGCTCACATTACAAGAAAAATAAATCGATCAAAATTGTTCATCTTTGAGATCAATTTGTATTTTCTTCAATAAAACATGTAAGCTGACTTTTGTTTTAACTTAGCTCATATTGCAGGAAAAATAAATCGATTGGAAATTTTGTATCTTTGTGATCAAGTTGTATTTGTTTCATTATAGCATATAAGTTTAAATTTACTTTAACAAGAAAAATGGCTAATATTCCAAAATTTTATTGCAAATTTAAATTTTACAAAAATTGAAAATCAAATATATATATATATATATGTAACAATTCGATGAAAATATTAGCATATAATAATTTTTACTATGATTTTTCCATATGTAAATATTACATACTATTTTATGTGATTATTAATGTAGCAAAAAGATCCACCATATTTATATTCCATAGCGCTTCGGTTAGAAAAGGTGCTGATTTCTCTCAAAAATCACATATTGAATGTACAGAAACTATCAATCTTAGCGTAAATAGCACTGTATTTTTTAAATAAAAGCTATATGTTATTTGTTTGTTTTTTAAAATGGTGCTCTAAAGAAGTATATATGGTACTCTATAGAGTATATATTGTGCTCTATATAAATATATTTGGTGCTCGGTAAAAATATATTTGATGTTTCATAAAAGTATGTCTGGTGCTCTATGTACTATATGTTATGCTCTATATTGTGTTGTTAGTTTCTCAAATAGTATTAATTCAAGGGTTCATAAAGCACCGATCAATAATCCAGAAAGCATTAAAAGAATCCAAAATATCAAAAAAAATTGATCGGTGTTATCTAAACAATAATTGAACGGTAATTGGCATCCCAACTGTCTGTCATTTCATTTTTATTTTTTTTATTAAATTTTGGTGCAAGATATTTTAAATACTTTTATATGTATTTAGATAAAATAATAATAATAATAATAATAATAAATAAATTATTTTATGTTTTTTAAAATTTTTAAAGTAATAAAATAAATTAAATATTTGATATTATGTTATATAAAGTGAAATTGGTATTTAATGTAATAGTTTTTTATTTGATACAAATAAAATACAAAATTATTTCATGCTTAAGATGTCAACTCCCCTTAATCAAATGGCCGCAGATTTAACGAACAACAAGGAGTTAATTTGTTGTATTTTTTAAAAACTCGCAATTGTTTCGACGTTAAAATATTTTGGTGTGTACAAATGAGACTTGTCTATAGCTATCCAAGTAAAAGCAGAAAACGACCTACAAAATAGATTTAACATCAGTCTGTCAACTTTCTATTTTAGCGTCGACCTCGAGTCTCAACACACTTGCACAATAAATGTAACATTGTCAAAAAAAAATGTATATTGTATTTCTTTCGTTCCACATATTATATTATATTTATTGTAGATACGGGATTATGTTTTAAGAGTAACATAATTTGTAAATAATTAAGAAATATAGTATCAGTAAAAGTAATTACAATCCAATACAAGTATGCATATATTAAAATTAAAATAACTTATTAATCTCATTAAAATTTAAAAATATAAATTCAAAATATAATTAAAATATAATCTTTTTTCCGAAAAAGAATGAAACAATATACGTAAAATGGATTAAAATAGCAATATTAATATAAAATATGAAATAGAGAGAAAGTAACATTCAAAAAATATATATTGTTAAATAGTGATAAAACTTGTACATATGTAAAGAAAGAGTCTTACTCTTTCGCATTACCAGCTAGATTATTTGAGTTCAAATAGCAAAGATTTAATTATCATGAATCAAAAGTTCTTTTTATGAACTTTATTTTCCCCATCAGATTGACATAATCAATCCTTAGACAAACAATTAGATAAAAACATCATTTGTAGATCATTACTTAAACAATCAAATGTTTTGGTCTTAATTGCAAGGATTAAACTTCCTCTAGTTTGTAACTACTTCTCAGTTCTTCACCTTGTGTTTCGAATCACCAGCTCTTCCTCGAGCATTTTCATCGAATCCGAAACTTCGGCCCGATAGACGTAAAACCTCACAACAACAAGAAACACAACAAAATTGATGCAATTCAAGACGGCGAAGAAGGCGTAATAGTAATCCAAGTGCGAGGCGTTAAGGTTGTTCCTAATCCATCCCTCATGCCCGTCTCCACTCGTGACATCCGAGACAATGCTCAGCAATGCGCTGCTAATGAAGCTCCCGACTCCAAGACTGGTCATCGAATACGATGTCCCTAAACTCTTCATGCTCTCGGGTGCCTGGTCGTAGAAGAACTCGATCTTCGCCACCTCCAAGAACGCGTCCGCGACGCCCATAAGTATGAATTGAGGCAATAAAATGAATATGGATAAAGGGACTTGGCCCCCATTCTCGACTAGGCCATTGTCCCGGGCGACGTGGATTCTATGACGTTCGGTTAGCGAAGCGACGACCATGATGATGATGTGGATGATCATGCCGATTCCCATTCGTTGGAGGAGACTAATGCCTCTAGGGTTTTTTGTCCATTTTTTTACGATCTTGACGAAGACACAGTCATACACCACGACAGATATGAGCATCGAGATTGTGACGAATCCAGCTAGGCTAGCGGGAGGGATCTTGAAAGTGCCGATGTGGCGGTTAAGAGTGGTGCCTTGCTTCACGAAAAGTGTCCCAATTTGCGCGATCATCGTGCTCGGGATGAAGGTGACGATGAGGATCGGGATCATTCGAAGCATTTGCTTGGTTTCTTCTACTTGTGTGACCGAGCAAAGGAGCCATGGCTTGCTAGAATTTGTTCTTATACATGCTTTATTGAGGAACCTGTGAGTATGGAATCGAAAATAATTTAAATATTGACAGATAATACATAAAACATAAATCAATAACAAATAAATTATACTAATATAATATAATATAAATATAGTATATAAATCATCAACACAAAACTTATGTTAATATAATATAAATATAAAGCTTAAACTGAAAAGAGTACATAATATCATTGAATTAAGCACATAAGATACACAAAAATAACACACACATAGAGTGTGAGCTTACAACTTCAATTAACATAACATGTTCTCTATTAACTAAAGTCATATGATGTTTGTCTAATTGGTATATGCTTTTTAGTCCTAATTAACTTTACTCATATGTAAAACCAAAACGTGATTTTTCCCTTTTGGCTTTGTCGAGCAAAATGTAAGATTGGCATTGGTTCAATTGAGAAATACACTAAACTAAACATATCTCTAAAATTAATGATTATTATCTAATTTAAAAACAAAAAGAAAAAAAAAAAGTCATCTTTGTAAAAATAAACACTAACCTCATTTCATTAGTGGAATCAATCCTGTACTTGCCTTTACCATACTCTCGAGGATCAAGCTCATATAATTCTTTCGGGTCCGTCGGAATGTCTATTTTCCACTTCCTAATCGAAGCCACGATGACCTTAGCCATTTTCGTAAATGGGCTTCCTACGGGCACCTTGTGCCGATAAAAAGGAGTCCCGGCCAAGAATATTATTAGTGATATAACTAGTCCAATGGTCGGGAGCTCATAACCGAGCGTCCACCCCACATTGTCCTGAATGTAGACTAGAATGGTGTTGGCGAATAGTGTCCCCAAAAATATGCTAAACATCCACCAATTGAAGAAGGAAAGCTTTTGGGCTTTCTCTTTTGGGTCGAACTCATCGAATTGGTCTGCACCGATTGTCGAAATATTGGGTTTGGTTCCTCCCGTGCCGAGTGCTAGCGTGTATAGAGCTCCGAAGAATACAGCTAATTGTAATGTAGTGGGCTTGTCGCAGTGGACACCAATTGGATCTGAACATGGACTTGGTTTCAAAGGATGAATCGATACCGATAGGGTCAAAAGAGACATTCCCTACCACAGTCATGACAAAAATATTATACAGAGTTATTGAATACTCTATTTATATATTTATGTTTAGAGTTTTTTTTTTTTTTTCATTATTAATCAACAATAACATTTTTCAGGAAATATTACATCAAATGTTTATTTTCTCTTGAAAAACATCGAAAATTATTAGAATGCTAATCGACATAAATATATATATAATAGGCAGATGTCACATAATTTCGATGAATAGAGTATATGTTATATTAATTAAAATCCTGTATTGACATATCATACTTTATAAAGTGTTGTAATATATATTGAGATCAATAGTATAGTTTATGTTAAGTAAACTATTGTTATGTCTTATCGATTTATATATTATATTTTTATTATCTTTACATAAATATTGCATTGTTGATTACATTTGGTGTATTGTCTATTTGTATTTGACATATTGTCAATAGAGTATTTAACAATATAATTCAGTTTTACAGTGGCTTAAATCATCATGTTAAATACTATAACCTCCAATCACAAGTATCACATTTAATAATTATTTTTTATTTAATTTTTTAATTCTCAAATAACTCAAAATATCAAGGGTTTGTTTTGTTTAGATAAGAGTTTTGTTTAGATAAGAATTTTTTGAGGTTTTTGGAAATTTGAAAGTTTGAAAAAAAGTAAAAATTTAGTATTTAATTTGATGTTTTGTGAGAGAAAAAATATACTCCCTCCGTTTTAATACAATAGTCTTGTTTACCATTTTTGTTCGTCTCAAAACAATAGTCTTATTTCCATAAATAACTATATCACTATAAAATTATCCTTACTTTTTCATTATTATTACACAATTGCAACTATTTTTTATACTAATACACTCACAAGGGCAAAAAAGTCTTTTATCCATACTTTTTACCCACTACTAATATAATATCAATACTCCTTAAATTATGTGTCAAACACAACTCAGACTATAGTTGTGGAATAGTTCTGGAATTGAGGGACTATTTGATATGATATTTTTTGAAAAATGAATAGTATCTGTGAAAATATATTGTGTAACACACGAAAAAAAAAACATATACATAACAAAGTTAGGTATTTTTTTAAGCTAAAGTGACTATGTTTAGATAGATCTTTTCGGAAGTTTTAGTACTATTATTTATCTACAATAATTTTTAAAAAATAAATATTATATTAAATATATATATACTTTTTAACAAACATTAAATTAAATATTTATTTTATTTTTAAACATCACATCAAATATTTATTTATTTTTATTACTTGTACAAATTTTCAAATTTCAAAAATATCTTACAGGAATATTCCATCTGTCCATTTTATTATTTGGTTTGTCACTTTGTGTTCCAGTTTTTTAGGTAGAATGATTTAAAATATTTATATTTGTGTTTTCCTTGATCTGTATTTAAATTATATATACGATGGTAAAATAAAATATAAAATTATATATAATAGATTAAAAAATTGTGTAACAATCTTGGCATATAGTAAAAGATTCGCAACATGAATAATATAAAACTATCTACGAATCTTTTGAGCTTAATATATATATATAATTGTCTTTCATAAATTTGTTTACTTTACTGTAGATACGGAAATTAATAAATAATTAAAAAATATATTAGTAAAAATAATTATTAATTAAATTAAATTAAAATAACTAAATAATTTAATTGAAATTAAAAAATTATAAATTATAAAATTTAAAATATAATTAAAATATAGAATCACTTTTTTAAGAAAATAATAAATTATATAAAACGGATAAAAATAAATAAACATTTTATATTAGACTAATAGTGCTTAGGAAATGGTCAAATGTTTGTGAAGCAAAGGTTTTCCTTAGGACGTTGAAAAACTAAATATATAAAAACTTTAATTTATCCATAACTTTGACTTAAAAGTTTGATCTTTTTGTGTATAGCCGAAATGAAGACGCAAGTCATAAAACGACAACCTTCTTGTGTGGAAGTGTGTGTACAATTTTATATTACATTATTGATATTGCAAACAATACATCTCACTTGTTTAGACATATCTTAAAAATATTTTAGAATTTTAAATTGATTTATAAATAATATTTCCTCCGTCATTCAATCGTGTGCTCATTTTATCGGATACGAATTTTAAGAAAAATATGTAAAAATAAAAGTTTTTACTTTTTTTTGGTAAAAAAAAAAATGGTATTTTTTTACTAAAAAAGAAACATAAATAAATTTGAATGACAACCATAAAAGAAAAACGAAAATATATTTGAATTACAGAGGGAGTAAAACATTAGATATAGTGTTGTAAGGTTACTTGGTTGTGTCCAAGTAACCTCCTGATATTTTTGGATTGTGCCAAATTATTGTATTATAAAAAAATTATTAAATATATAATAAAAAATAAAAAATTGATTTTTTTTTCGGAATTGAAAATCTGTATAGAAATTATTCCGTAAGTAAAATTTTTGGCACAACTGGTTCTTCGGAAGCGGAGACGCACATATGGCATCTGCGTCGCACGCTGGAGTACACTTGTTTGCCAAGTAGGTATCATCAGACAGACGTGAAATTATTTTAATTTTTTTTATTTTTAAAAAGACTACACATGTCTGTTAGGTGGCGCCTAGCTCATGAATAGGTGTACTCCGGCGAGCACACGGGAGCCATATATGCAATTCCGGCATCGGATGACTAATTATGCCAAAAAAAAATATATTAAAATTTGAGTTCATTCTTATACATGTTTAGTTAGAGGACTAAAATGATAAAAAGTTCGTTATTGAACTAAAACGATAAATTTTCCTAAAAAAAAAAAGTAATGGGGTATCTAGAAAAAATAATGACAAATTAATTATTATATTTTAAAATTAAAATAATAAAATTATAAGTGAATACAGTGGTCTATATAAACAAACTATTATGCATAATTATAGTAGATAATAAAAAATGATATAATTAGTCTAGATAGAAAAAATATCATATAATATGAAATTTCAAATTTAAAAATATAATAATAAATTAAAATTGGAAGTGATTTTTTTTCTTAAACAAGTGTTAAGAAAATAGTAATAATAACACAGTAAAAATATATCAATATCATATGTAATGTTACTTACCAAGAAGTAGATAGCGCCGGCAATCAAAAAAGTCCAATAACGACCCAAAAGAGCATCAGCAACATAAGCACCCAAGGCGGGGGTCATCCAAATGGTGCCGACCCAATTGGTGACATTGTTGGCCGAGGTGACCGTGCCTTGGTGCAGTTTTGTCGTCAAATATATAAATAGATTGGTCGATATTCCATAGTACGCCATTCGCTCGAACACTTCATACACTTCATTTATTGTTTCGAATAATGATAAAAGTTAATTAAAAAAAAGAAAAAAGAAAAAAGAGGGCAATAAAATAATTTCCTAATCTAAATGTGAATGACAATTAATTTGTCGAACCACATTGTATATTATTGATCAAAATATTCAATTATTGAATATATCTAAAAGAAGTATTGAAATATATTGGTTGTGTTCATTTGTCAATATTTCATAAGATTTTTATTGTTCGTTTAAATTTTTTTTTTTAAAAAAAATATCAAATCAAATAATTATTTTTTATATTTTATATTACCCTAAGAATTAATTTTACTTTTAAATCAAGCAACTAATCTCATAATATATTAATTTAGATTATTTTAAAATAAAAAAATATAAATTCTAAATCCAAATTAGCTTTTAGAATTTGGGAATAATGAATAATTTGAACCGAAATCGGATTTAATGTGCTATAAATATGTATTTTATCTAATGTTAGATAAAAACACTAATTCAATATATAATATTTAAATAAAAAATAAAATATGTAATTTAATATTTTTAGAGAAAAGAAAAATGATGAATTGTAGGAATTTGAAACCTTACAATTTGAGTATGAAAGTTGGTTGGGAGATGGGAAGGTAGATAAGACTTATTGCACATGGAAATATAACACAAATTAATATAGACCTACCCTCTTACATACATTTAATATATAATTTAATCACAATAATAAATTTTGTTAGTTAGGTCACACAAATTTATCTGGTATTTAAATTTCAATGATCCATTTTTATGATTTGTCATGTGCTACTTATATCAATATACAATACTCCTTCCATCCCAAATATCATCCAATATTTGTTTTTGACACGAGAATTTAGGTGGGGAATATTAAATATGGTTATTTGAAATAATTTGGATATTAACTGATGTGATTGGAGAGATAAATGATTATTTGTTTTTTTTTTTTTATTTGAGTGATATGATGGAACAAAGTGAAGTGTATATTAATGTATGTATATAGATATTACTCCCTCCGTCCCAATACAATAGTTTTATTTACCATTTTTGTCTGTCTCAAAACAATAGTCTCATTTCCATAAATAATCATATCACCATAAAACTATCCATATTTTTTCATTATTATTATATTATATAATTGTCACTACTTTTATACTAATATACTCACAAGGGCAAAAAAGTCATTTATCCTTACTTTTTACCCACTACCAATATAATATCAATATTCCTTAAATATCGTGTCTAATACAATAAAACTATACTTTTGGGACGGAGGGAGTATTAATTATTTCTAAATTTAAAAATATTGCAGTGAGTTTGGGACAAACAAAGAAGGAAATTTTGCAGTGTTTCAATTAATATATATTTTTTTTATTGTCATGATAAAATATTATCTAAACTAAAATTTAAATATATAGAGGTAGAAAATTATAAAAGTTCACACACATACTTATAGGCTTTGCTATATTTAGTTTGATTTTGTATAGTAATTTATATTTTAGTTTTGTATTTAAATAGAAGTTCCATATAATATTCTACATAAAAATAATAATATCTTTTTATAGAAATTTATAAAAATTAAATTAAAAAAAAAAATCAAAGTAAAAAGGATCTATATCTTCCTATTGAGGCTTATAAAGAGGATAAAATGAATTTGCGTTTTACTGTATTTTTTGTTTTTTATTTTTATGAAAGAAACAATGGGATCATACATAATATTTTGATTAAAAAATATCTGTAAGATATAATATTTTGTTTTAAAATATATGTGTGTGTAACATTATTTTAAATATATATTCAACACAATAATTTTACACAAACAAAATAATGTTTTTAATATAAATAACAGAGACGGAAAGTGATAGTATTTAAATAATTGTATGATGTGATATAAACAAATATTGATGTAATATTTTAAATATAAAATTAATTTTTTATATATATGAAATATAGAAACTAATTGTTTAATTTAATATTTTTATTAAAAAAATTAATAAATAATAAAAATTCTATCAAAATCTTTCAACCAATCATAGTGATTCAAATGAACAAAATATTCATGGCCAAGAACACTCAAATGGGATTTACCTTTGCTTTAGTTACATTTTGTATGCATTTTCCTCTAAGTTTAAAGCTTATAAGTGAGAAAAATAACTTCACTTCGAACACAAAATTCTAATCCAATTACGACCTAATATATATATATATATACACATATTTTTCTTCATTTTCGAATCAAACATCTATTTTCTATGCTAAATATCATATTTAATAATTATTCAGATAAAAAAAAAATGCAAAATATACGACGTACCAACGATGAAGAAACAAGCCGTCCATCGACCTCTCTTGGATCGAAGAACGGGATTGCCTCGAAGATCCACTGTTCCATCTTCTGTATATAATCCCTTTTCTTCTTCTTCTTCTTCCTTCGACATACTTTCATTCATGGCTGCCTAATTATTAATTAATTTTGTAATATTTTTCTAACAAATAACTCACTGCTACTTGCTATAATTTCTATGGCTTCCTCGTATATATAATATATATTGGGGGGGGGGGGGGGGGGGGGGAGGGGGGTTGAGGGTGTGGTTGAGTTTCTTAATAATAAGTCGAGCTCGGCATGTGTGTGTACATGGCAGCTTTTATTGAATCAATATATATATATATAATTTAGAAAGGGATATATTTATATATGTATGTGTTACGAAATCTCAATAACGAGACAAAAATCATGAATGCATTAATCAATTAATTAATTAAGTAATTAAATTGGGGATTTGGATATGTATTGAGTGTGTTTCTTTTACCACAAAATTCCAATTTTTTACTACTTGGACTATGTATTTTTCTAAAAAAATACATTTTTTTTTTTTTTTACAAGATATTTTATCATACATTATTTTAATACCAAATTTAAACCAAAGTTTCTCAAACTAAATCAAAAGAAAAGACCTGAAACATATACTTCAACGTGCTTGGACTAATTTTTGCGCCTATTGGCTGCACTCATCACAAAAAAAAAACAAACAAAAACTAATACATATTTTAAAATAATATTTTTTCTGTTTCATCTAAACTATTTGTTTGTATTTTTTAAGTATAATAAAAATAAATAATAATTTATTAGTAGGTGAAAATAAATAAAATAATTTTAATATTTTTATTATATATATTTTATTTATAAATTAATTGTATATATAATGATATATTTTAATTTATGTAAAAATTTAAAATATTTATTATTAATGTGTGATTATTTTTATTATAATAGAAAATAAATATTTTGAATAAAATATAATAAAATAGTAACTACTAGAGGAAAAAAAAAAAAAGAAGCTTATAATCATATAAATTTGTTGCGTATTTTAATATTGAGACAACTAAAAGTCACGAATAACAATTTTGTGATAAAATTATACCACAATATTCTGTTAATACTTTTTTGTATATTATATTTGCAAAAAAATGGCAAAAGTAAAAAGTTAAATTAAATATTGACTTAAAATAAATAAATATATATTAAAAAAAATTGTTACCTCTGTCAAATTTAAAAATATATTTTTATTTTTAGCGCAGAGTTTAAAAAAATAATGATATAATGATAAAGTGGGGTGTGTTCTTGTTTGGGGGATTGGATTTAATTTTTACTATTCATCTCATTTTTTCCCCCAAAACATCAAATCAAACATTTATTTTTTATTTTTTATATTATACTAAAAATCAATTTTACATTCAAGACATCACATCAACACCTATTTATATCACATCATACAACTATTTAAATTCAAAATTTTTATTATTCAAATCCTAACTCAAAATCCAAATCCCCAAACAAACACACCCATCGTGTATTTATAGACAAAAAGTGGGGTATTTCTAGAATGATTACTTTATAATTAATTAGACAATTCAAAATAGAAATAGAAATATGTATAGTTTGTGATGGGACAAAATAAGTAATTCTCCCTCCATCCCAACTGTCATGGTGACTGTAGATGCCAGAACTTAGGAGTATGAATAGTAAATAATTAAGAATATACTGTAAAAATAATTATAAATTAAAATTAAAATAATTCATTGGTATAATTAAAATCAAAAAAATTATAAATTATAAATTTTAATATGTAATTAAAGTGTATAATTCATTTTTTTAAAAAAAAAAAAATAACATAATAAAGGAGACAACACAAATGAAAAATACCACATCATATGCAATAGAATATATTCAATAATACTAATATAACAAAAATGTAAACTTATCTATTATACACAAATAATATTGTATTATTATTATACTATCATTAATAATTATATAATTTTTTATTAACATTAATATTTTTAATAATAAATAATAATTTTAATTATAAAATACATTTTTTAAAAAATTTCCCCCTAATCACATCCACGGCCGTGAGAGGTGAGCCGCCGCCTGCACCATTTTTTTTCTCTTTTATTTTCTGTTTCCTTTCTCCACTTGTTCTTTCTTTTATCTTCTTCTTATTACGTGGGGTTGACTATCTCAACCCCAATCATGACCCCTTAACATATAAAACACATATATGTTTTTAGAAAGTGTGAATATGAAATTCCGAAGTTCCAAAATAACTCATCAATGTCGTCGGTGCGGGTTCTTGAAGTATTCCAGAGAGCCAATCTATCGTTGGGTTATGAAGATTTCACGAGATTGATCAGATTAAACTAAGATTAAATATGAAAAGCGAGTAAAACGAATTGCAAGAACGTGAAAGCAAGTAAATCGAATTAAATTGCATAAACGAAACTAGAACATGAAAGAAAAATAGAAAAATAGACGATTTGATCTGGTTATGCTTGTGTGTGTTGTGTTTTTTCTAAGTTTGAATAACCACCTCTTCCACTAAAAGGAGCAGTTCCAATTATTCATCCACCTCTTTTAACCATCAGGTAACATCCTTCCATCAGTTCTCAACCGCTTCCATTGCCTCTAGACCGGGTTCCATTTGTTTTGAACGTCTTCCGTCGTTTATGGACCGAGTTCCATCCCCTCTGAACTTCTTCTATTGCCTCTGGATCAGACCTGCAACTTACCATGACTTGCTTCCATCATACTCCTAGCCGATCTACGAGGATATGTCCCCAACAGCCTCGAGTTACATGGAATCCTCCTTTTTCTTTCTTTCGTTTTAACCCATAGAACCTTCCATATAGGATATGTAAGTGCCGGGGTCTTCCATTAATGTTACGAAGTTACCAACCCAGGGTTGATGGAGCTTGTCGTCTAAAGGCCTGTGGAAGCTACACCTTCTTGCTCCATGGAAGTTTCGTAGCCTGATGGGGGTTGTTATCTTCAAATTTAAGTCATTTGGACTTAGGGTCCAACAATTGTCCTTCTAAAAAAAGGGATAAAATGTGAAATGTATGGAGCTTTACCCTTTTTTGGAATTTTCTTCTTGTGGAGCTTTGAATTCTTCTAGAGTCTCGTCCATTTGCTTCCTTTTGGAAGAAGCTTCTCTATTTGCTTTCTTTTTTTAAGGGACTCATTCGTCAGCTTTTCTATCTAAAACGGCTCCACAATCTGCTTTCATTTTGTTAGCGGCCTAGAAAAGACTTGTTTTCATTTATCCACTTCATTCATTTATCTGAACTCAAGTGGCGACATGTATCCCTTAAGGTGCTTAGCATTGATAACATTTATATGTTTCATCCCATCAATACTCATCAATCTATAAGAACAATTAGGCAACACTTTACTCACTTGATATGGTCCTTCCCATGTAGGAGACCATTTCCCGAACGTATTATCTTTGAATCCTTCAGGTAACACTGCATTCCGCACCAAATCTCTTCATGGAATGCTCGCCGACGTACCTTTTTGTTGTAAGCTCCTGCTACTTTCGCTTTATTCACTCTAATATTCTCTAATGCCATCATCAGATCCTCGTGTACGTCATCCAACCTTTGTAACATAGCTGTGTCGTATTGCTCGTGATTGAGCGAATTCTGCTTCAACACTCGTAACGATGGCACTGTAATTTCCAATGGCAATATCGCCTCTTGCCCATAGACCAGTTGGAATGGAGTGCAACCAGTAGCTTTATTTCAGTATTGCCTACAGGCCCATAAAGCCTCCCCTAACACTTCGTGCCATCTTCCCGGGTTGTCTTCCACGGCCTTTTTAATTACCCCAATTAAGACCTTATTGGCCCTTCGGCCTGCCCATTCGTTTGTGCGTAATACGGGGATGAATGCAAAAGAATGATCCCGTACTGTACGGCGAAGGCGGCCACTCTATTGCTGGTAAAAACAGTACCTTGATCGGCGGTAATCGTTTACGGGATTCCATACCGGTGAATAATGTGTTCCTTAACGAACTTGATCACTTCTTGATATGTTATGTTGGCCAATGGTACAGCTTCTATCCACTTGGTGAAATAATCCATGGCCACCAATATGAACGAGTGTCGTCTGGAGATGGCGGATGGATCTTTCCGATAATATCCATCGTCCATCCCCGGAATGGCCATGGTTTCACCACTGCATGCATTTCTTCCGCTAGAATTCGGATCAAAGGACCATGTCGCTGACACGCTTCACATCCTTGAGCATACTTGATGCAATCTTCTTTCATTGATGGCCAAAAATACTCATACTGTCGGATCGTCCATCTCATGACTAATCCGGATTTGTGTGCTCCGCAAACCCCTTCATGCACTTCACCCATCACCTTCATGGCTTCTTGAGTATCTAAGTATTTCATTAACATTTCATCGGCGGCTCTGCGAAAAAAATCTCCGTCAATCAAAGTATGCTTCAGAGCCTGCTTCCGTAGCTTTTCAGGATGATAGTTAGAAATCGCATGCATTTTATATTCATATCATATGCAATATTTTGGTGATTTTGATTGGATTCTACCTAATTTATATGCGAATTGTTTATTTGCTATGTGCAGAGGACAAATATTAAATTTGGCATAATTGGCAGAAAAAAGAAATAAAATTAATTAAAGGCCCAAAAGCCCATCTACAAAATAATTAGGGCAAACATTGAATAAAATGAGGGATCACACGCCTATTCCCAAAAGAGAGGACGGCTAGAGCAGAAATGCACAGGAGCAGGAGACTGACAGATTCATAGATCGCGCAGGAGCAAATCGACAGAGAAGATTTCCCCCTCCCATTATGACTTTATCTTTCTCTTTTGTTCTTTGTTATTTGATTATGGAGTAGATACTTTTCTGGTTTGAGGGGTGATAATGTCTTGGTTCTTTTGTTTTGGAGATTCTTGATTTTCTTTATAAAAGTTCTTTTTTATTATCAATATTTGTCTAATTCTAAGAATAACGTTTGTGATTGTTGGATTGATTGAATATTTTGGTACCAATATTTAAATTAGTCTGATAATCTAAAGTCAATTCAGGTAGGATATCCGTAATTGTATTCGCACTTGAATAGGTGATAACCGGGTTGAATAGTTCCTTCCCGGGGGTTAGACAATCAAATCTAATTGCTCCTCCTAGGTAGTAATTGTTTTGAATTTGGTTTTTTTAGATTACAATGC